TAGTGGCACTTGTCACCGCATCCACTGTTAGCGTAACACACCCGCTTTAAGGACACTGACTGCTATTCAATCTATAACAGTGAAAAAAGATTATTATTTTTTTTAAATCCAAACTATTGTGACACAGGATCTAATTAGTGGCACTTGTCAGCGTATCCACTGTTAGCGTAACACACCCGCTTTAAGGACACTGACTGCTATTCAATCTATAACAGTAAAAAAAAGTTTTTTGTTTTTAAATCCAAGCTATTGTGACACCAGATGTAATTGGTGGCACTGACTGGGGAAATGGGCACAGTATGCATTGTGAGCCTGACACAGAAGCTGGCAGCAGTGGCAGACAACTGACTGCTATTCAATCTATAACAGTGAAAAAAGTTTTTTGTTTTTAAATCCAAGCTATTGTGACACCAGATGTAATTGGTGGCACTGACTGGGGAAATGGGCACTGTGAGCCTGACACAGAAGCTGGCAGCAGTGGCATACAACTGACTGCTATTCAATCTATAACAGTGAAAAAAGTTTTTTGTTTTTAAATCCAAGCTATTGTGACACCAGATGTAATTGGTGGCACTGACTGGGGAAATGGGCACTGTGAGCCTGACACAGAAGCTGGCAGCAGTGGCAGACAACTAAGTGCATTTACATTAGATAGAAAAAAAATCCAAAAAAAGCATACCCTTATCCCTAACCTAGCTATGCTTTTCCCTATCTTATGAACAGCAGCTACACTTTCCCTCCTCTTACTAAGCATGCAGCTTGAGAATGAATCTAAAATGGATGCTGTCCAGTAGGTGGGAGGGTCTGCTAGGGAGGCTGTGCTGCTAATTGGCTGGAATGTGTCTGCTGACTGTGAGGTACAGGGTCAAAGTTTACTCAATGATGACGAATAGGGGGCGGGTCGAACCGCGCATATGTTCGCACGCCGTGGCGAACGCGAACATGCTATGTTCGCCAGGAACTGTTCGCCGGCGAACCGTTCGGTACATCACTATTTAACAATGTGCAATGTCAATCAGCAGTGGCTAAGGCCAGTAAGGTATTGTCATGCATGAAAAAGGGTATTCATTCTCGGGATGAGAATATCATTTTGCCTCTTTTTAAATCACTGGTAAGACCACATATTGAATATGCTGTGCAATTTTGGGAATCTGTTCTAAAGAAGGATATTATGAAAAAGTGCAAAGGCAGGCTACAAAATTAATAAAAAGGAATGGAACATATTCGCTATGAAAGGTTAACAAATTTAAACCTCTTTACTTTAGAAAAACATTGCGTGAGAGGGAATATGGTAACATTATACAAATATATTCGGGGCCAATACAAACCATTGTGTGGAAATCTATTCACAAACCGGACTTTACATAGGACATGAGGTCATGCGTTTAGACTGGAAGAAAGAAGATTTCGTCTAAGGCAAAGAAAAGGTTTTTTTACTGTAAGAACAAAAAGGATGTGGAATTCTCTGCCTGAAGAAGTGGTTTTATCAGAGTCCATACAGATGTTCAAACAGCAACTAGATGCATACTTGCAAAAACAGAATATTCAAGGATATAATTTTTTCAATGTAGGGTAATAGCTCCTTGATCTAAGGATAAATCTGACTGCTACTCTGAGGTAAAGGAGGAATTGTTTTCCTAGTTTGTTGCAAAATTGGAAGTGCTTCAAACTGGCTTTTTTGTCTTCTTTTGGATCAACAGCAAAAAACAAATGTGAGGAAGGCTGAACTTGATGGACGCAAGTCTCTTTTCAGCTATATAACTATTAAATGCGATAGCATGACGTAGTCAATATATTACATAATATACTTTTGCATTAACATAAACCTCATATCACTACAAATGGCAATCTATAGAAGTACAAAATCTCATGCTTATAATATGCAAAAACATATTATTGTAGATGACAATCTATACACCTGCATGTGTTTCACTCTTGACATCTTTATACCTGAGCCATAGCCTAAATGCTGTAAAAAGCTGCCATAAATAGATTGGCATTTGTTGGCGCTAGATTCGACCCCATTGCTGTTCCCTGTATCTGGAAATAATACTGATCCTCAAAGATGAAATAATTTTTATGTAGTACTAGTGATAATAAATCTATAAGAAAACTCTTATATGTCTCACTCATATCCATTCCTTCCTGGCCTCAAATACCGCCTCAATGCCTTTCTCATGCAGTATAGAAGTGTACAAGCTATTAATATCCATAGTACACAATAGGGAACCATCGAGTATCCTGTACAAAAGCGCGCATATCACATACTAAAGGTTGTAAATGTATATCCACAAATTTGAATAAAAGTTGTAGTACTGATCCACACCCAGACACAATAGGGCGCCCCGATGGATTCAACAGGTCCTTGTGGATTTAGGCAGCAAATAAATGAAAGGAATCTTACTATTATCTACATTGATAAAATGAATATCTCTCCTCTCAAATCAACCCATCATCCAATGCCATCTTGGTAATTCTACCAATGAAATCCTGAAGCTCACCTGTTGGATCTCCATCAAGGATCATGAAATGATGCATATTAGACAATGTGGACGCAATGCCGCTTCTTGGGCCAGTGAGGGAATCTAAAGAACTTCTCACTGGCTCTCTGCTCTCTTACAACAGGTCTGGGGGAGGAGGGGGGGAATAGTGGCAGTGGCAAAGAGGCGGTGGATGCTGTACATTCTGTACATTCATTGGATGCAGATCACTACCAATGCACTCTTGTGGTCACAGATTGGTCACAGGGGTCTGCATCCATCCAGAGCAGCAGACCCACTGTATGAGAGACACCTAACTACTAGACCACCGTGGACATGCTTCAGACCACTAAAGAAGAGTGCCCCACCTCCCTGCATAAAAGGTTTAAAAAAAAAAAAAAAAAAGGTTAGCAGGAGTAGGATAATATACAGTTGTGCTCAAAAGTTTGCATACCCTTGGAGACTTGGTAATATATTATTATTGTAACGGAACCGCTGGCACCCCGACCGGGTACCTCCTAGTGCTTTCCGAGGACTCCAAGCACTCTGCCTGACACCATAACCACTGCAGACCCCACAAATCGCCGCAGCTTGGTTGGGGTCTCGCCGTCTCCACCCACTCTGGACCCAGGACCAGGGTCCAGCTTCCAGTAGGTCGACCTCCCTCCGAATTCCAGAGAGCAGGAACAGGAACAAGCTCTTAGCAGAGCTTAGTGATTATACCCTGGGGAGTATAGTGATTATAGCAATCCCCAGAGTGTAGTTTCTCCAATCCCCCAAACATGAGCCGAAACTTCATGAAGGTACAAGATGATCTGACTCCAATGAGCGTTTATTACTCCTTATATACAAGTTTTCAGGTCAGAGGCACACCCCCTGGACCTGGTGGTAAACTGTGACAAAAGGGACACAAACCAATGGGAACACTAATTAACATGATAACACTCTCACATACACAATGAAATCCCTCCTCTCCATCCTGGAGATAATTGGCTTAAGGCACTGCAGTAAACTCAATTATCTCCAGGTACAGAAAATATCTACATTTAACACTAACAGCAAAATACGTAAAAGTACATAAAAATACATAATTCTTATTTTATTACACAGAACCCCCACATTTAACCTATCCCCAGATAGCTCGGATCTGAGCGCCCAATCTAGGTGAACAGCGCTCAGATCCCATGAACAGAGTAGATTTTCCACGGGGTAAAGCATAGCAAGGGCTGTTGAGAAACCAAGGAGGGACAAAAGCAGTCAGTTCCAACTGGTTGGCAGTGTGCCTGGGACAACGCCCTGCTGGAGAACAATAGACAGGAAACGGGGGAGGGGAAGAAACACACCTTCCCATGGATTCAAATGGGAAGAAACTGTCTTTAGAAGCCAATAAGCCTCAAATAGTCTTTTTAAATGGCAATACACCCCAGGGCCATAGTCATGAGGAAGGAGGCTGGCAATCAGGCTCCTCCAAAAGCCGGGGGCAAAGAGCAGCTTGTCACCTAACAATCCAGGGACAAAAGGCATTTTGTCACAATTATTATGTTATTTATATAGCGCCATCAAATTCCGCAGCGCTTTACAATGGGTGGACGAACAGACATGTAGTTGTAACCAGACAAGTTGGACACACAGGAACAGAGGGGTTGAGCGCCCTGCTCAATGAGATTACATGCTAGAGGGAGTAGGGTAAAATGACACAAAAAGGTAAGGATAGTATTAGACTAGTGACAGTTGCAGAAGAGGAATCAGTCAGGGGCTATTAACAGTTTAGTTGATATGCTTTTATGAAGAAGTGGATTTTTAATGATTTTTTGAAGGAGTGGAGACTGGGTGAGCATCTAACGGGGGAGGGAAGCGAGTTCTACAGGAACAGTGCAGCCCTCGAGAAATCTTGAAGGTGAGCATCAGAGGTGGGAGTACGGACAGAAGATAGACGTAAGTCTTCAGCAGATCGTAAGGGCCTAGACATACTTGTGTATAAGGAAGGATAGATAGGTGGGAGCAGCATTATGTAGCGATTTGAAAGTAAGAACCAGAATTTAAATTGAGCTCTATATTTTATAGGAAGCCAATGTAGGGACTGACAGAAGGGTGAGCTATGTGAGGTGCAGGCAGAGCACGTAAGGCCACTGAGAAGCGGATTACAGTAGTCAAGGCGAGAAAGGACAGTGGAATGGACCAACACCTTAGTCGCATCTGGCGTTAAGTAGGGGAGGATGCGCACAATGTTTTTGAGATGGAAATGACAGGATTTGGCAATAGATTGAACATGAGGCTTGAAGGAGAGGTTGGAGTCAAAGAGAACACCTAGGCAGCGTGTTCATTATTAATGAATAGGCATGTGCATGGGGACAATATTCGGCTTGGTTCGGCATTCCGAAATTTGGGACTTCGTCAATTCGTAACGTCGGCATTTCGGGACTTCTCTTGCAGCCGCTTGGTAGATAACTCCCTAATTCCCACAGCAGAGTGAGGGAAGGAAGGGTGACTAGTGATAGAGTGAGGGGATGACTGGTGACAGAGTGAGGGAGAGGGTGACTAGTGACAGTGAGGGAGGTGGTGACTGTCACTAGTCACCACCTCCCTCACTCTGTCCCTAGTCACCCCTCCCTCTGTCACTAGTCACCACTTCCCTACCTCACTCTGTCACTAGTCAGTGACAGAGTGAGGGAAGGGGTGACTAGTGGCAGAGTGAGGGAAGGAAGGGGTGACTAGTGACAGAGTGAGGGAGGTGGTAACTGTCACTAGTCACCACCTCCCTCTGTCACTACTCCCTCCCTCCGTCACTACTCCCTCCCTCCTTCTGTCACTAGGATGTCACTTCCTGGCCCCGCCTCTCCCATCACACAGAGCACCGCGGGACAGGGAGAAGGAGACCTGGCAGAGAGGCGGTGAAGCTGCCAGCTCTCATTGGGAGGAGGGAGAGGGGTGGATTTAGAGAACGGTAGGTTGTGGGGCCCCGCGCTGCATCAGGGGCCCCACAACCGATCAATTAAATAGTTTTATTATTGTTTGCCGTTCCAGTTGGAGAGATCTCTGATCTCTTCAGCTGGAGCATGGCTGTGCGGCTGGGCCCCTGACTGCCTCAGGCCCTCGGTCCATGACCGAAGTGCCCGAGTGGTCAGTCCGCCCCTG